TAAGTATAGGAAAATTGCTTTTTTTGTTGATGCTGGAGAGGAGACAGTCCTTGAAACTAGACAAATAGGGGTCTGCAATTAGGAAACAGCATCTTGTGGCTTTATTAGATATAGTCCGGCCTTTTTTTTCAGTCTCTTACAAAAATATTGGTGCAATGATAAGAATTAAGATTACAGCACAGAAGTGCTTTACAGCACAGATTTAAATCTCCAGGCATGGCTTAGTAGCCTAGGCTGAACAAATGAAAGACTTGCTCTGCCTTGATCTGCAGAAAGAAATTCTGGAAAAATTAATTAACCCCCTCAGGCTGTCAGGGTAGATGAGTTATTTGCAGAGCTGGAGACAGCAGTTCTGTGCTCCACAGATTGTTAAGATCCTGTGAGACTACCAGCAGAGGAAGGGTTAAAGCAAAAAATTTTACCAGCAAAAATGATGGACTACTACCCAAGAAACACACTGCTTTGGCTGTGTAAGAACTCCCACAGACACACAGAAACTGCCATGGGGGTGTTTCCATGTGTTTTAGCTGGCCAAAAACTTGTAAGCGCTTACCTGAAATCCTTGTAGAAGCAGGAACCTGTCTAAATCTGAAAGAATAGTCACTTTCCTCTCTATTATCATATCTGAATATGATAGTAGACTCAAAGGTGGCAATCTGACAGGATATCGTAATGAAAATAAATAATACTGTAAGCATAAACATTAATAGTTTTCTTTATCCTTCATCTCTCATTGAATGTAGATGAATGGTACTGGAAGGTTAGAACATCCTTCTGGGGAAGTTTATAAAGTCAAGTTCAAAGACAACATGTTTCATGGGGCTGGAACCTGCACATTTCCAAGTGGAGCAAAGTACATTGGATCATTCAATGAAAACAAGTATGTTTGAAGTGATAGAGTCATGTAGTCTTTTCTGTTACTTTTGATTTCATAAGCTGTAAAGTCCAAATAAAATTCACCTAGCACAGGAGTAGGTTTCTTTTGCTACCAGTGAAACTTGCACTGGGTATCTGAGATTGCTGATCCCAGTTATATCCTTTTCATTAGATCAGTCAAAAGTCTGTGATTCATTCCCAGTCAGAAGTTTTCAAGATAGTTATTCCACCTATCCACTTTTTGTTACCAGGTCTCTGGGCTCAGACAGAGTTCAGAGAAATAGAACAGTTCAGACCCCTTTCAGAGCTGTTGTTTCAAGCTGTCTGCCTACAGATGCATGCAGAAATACAGTGCCGATTACTGCTGATAGTTTGCAAAGCTTGTGTTTACTTATTTTTTGAGGTAAAGTACAAATTTCAGAGAGATGGGAAAATGTGGAGGTTTATTTTCATCACTCAGAATAAAATATTGTAGTGCCACTCATAATCATCAGCTGAGTTAATTTCTTTTGAATAAGGCTGTGAGTTTTGAATTGCTAAGATACCAGCTTTTCCTAAAACAAGAAGTCGACACCCACTTCATAATCCACAAAGTAGATTTAATGTGAAAATTAACCATAAAAATACGACATGAGAGCATTCATGTTTATTCTCCTCAAATGACTTCTCTGTCAAATTTGCTAGGTTTGATTTAGGTTTAATTTTTCTTTAAGTACCTGCCCAGTCCAGTATCTGAAATAAATCTAAAATGTATGTTTGTTAATACGTGGTCTTTCATCAGGAAAAAAGGTCCGTCTTGCCCTGCTGACCAAAAATAATAGCCACAATAGTACTAGAATGCTGACCAATTCTATTTTTAAATGATCCGGTACCAAATGAAATATATGTTACCGAATATACCTGGATACAAAATGGGAACCTGTACGACAAACTCAAGTGTTTGGGGAAAAATTAAAGACATTTATTTCTATGCTTTAGAACAGATTGAGTTAAGTTATGCCTCTATTACAGTGGCATGTTAAAATCTGCTGCAGAGCTTCTGTCTTTTGCTGTCATATTAAATGACAGACATGAACTCTGCATGAAGTCTAAACCTGTGAGTACTCATCACTTCAGTGAGGGCATTCAGCAGTAGATCACATACGTAGCTTTACTGGTATTTTCTCTCAAAAAATCTTAGGGTGATGCCTCTACTGCCCTGTGAAAATATAGCCCATCACAAAGGGGCCAGCACAGTGCTTGTCACTAGTAGCTGATCCGTAGAGGAAACCAGCTGGTTCTGATTTGAACTTGTGATTTCAACTAACTAAAATGCTGATGTAGATACACCCTTGGCAGCAGAGATCCAGCCTTTGCCAGCCACTGCCATTTTCACCAGGGAATAAAGACTTCTCCTTTTTGACACTGGTTTGTGACTCCCTGACAGCCCAAGGCAGGCTATTTTGCCAAGTTTCAGGATTGCAAGTTTCCACCTACTCACACGGGATAGGTGTCAGCTCACCAGATCACTGCGGCTTTCATGAGAGAACATAGGCAGCACCATAGCAACTTGCTGTGACTACCAGGTGGCTTAATTTTTTAAGGGAAACAAATCTCCAGTAACTGTTTAAAAGTTATTTTCCCCTCATTTGCGAGGGATGCTGATGCATAGACATTTCATCTTTATAGCAGTTTTCAGGTATAATGATGAGCGTGATCATAGCTTTCAAAGATCAGCAGAAGTATGTGGTTTATGACGACTGAATTCACATGGAGTTATTTTTTTCTCCACAGGAAGCTGTAAAGCCTTGCACTTCAACCTAACAGCATGTAGCAGAATAGGGAAAGGGTAAGAAAGGATAGATTTTTACAGCAAGGCGATCACACAGTAACTGGCTGCATACACTTACACATCTTTATGATGCCCCTAACGAAAGTCAGCATAAACTTCATAGGACTTAATCTCTGGTAACTTCAAATCATGATTGGGACTATGAAGCTTTTTCTGTAGAGGCTACGTGCTGGGAGGATGTTAGTGTAAATACAGTTTTGCAAAGAAAGGTGTATGTTCCTTGGCTGTCTAACCTGTGTGCTCCATAGGTTAAAACTTTTACAGGCTACAATGTGGGAGAAAGTTAAGGCAGGTACTTACACTACACTGGGAAGGTTCTGATTCCTGGGAATTTGCTTATCTGGGTAGTGCACACATCACTGTGCTGCCACAAACCAACTGCATTCTCAGAGGCTGGATTTATGTCATTGCAGGATGGAAAGTGAAGGAGACTTTATAGATGAAAATGGAGTGGCACATTTCATGGCTTGGCAGCAGTGGGACTGAAGCAGAAGTTGAAAATGTAGCTATTTGACATGGACAGTAGCATGGGTTAAAGGCAGCTCTCTGATTGCATTCTGGGCTCAACAGTTGTGACCAGTTTTCAACAGGCACTGATTTCTTCATGTATTGATTAAAAATAACCCCTGAGGATGCATGAAAATAGCAAATAAAATTAAGTTATTTTTCTTTTCTTTTCAGCTGAAGTGAAAACATTAAAGAAATGACATTGGATAGGGTTAATTTATAATTGGAGCAGTTGATGACTGGAATTCTTTTTTTTATTTTAACTTGCCCTAGGAATGTCTTTCTCCCTGAGTTTCAAAAAAAGCCTTTCATCAACAAATGAGACCTAATTTATACTCAACTTCTGTGACTTTCTCCAGAAAAGCAAACCTCACTCTGAAGCTTTTGCAAACATAGTGTTGGTATGATCATGTTTACCCTAAGCCAGGTGTTGCATAGTGGGGTCAGGGTAGAGAGCAAGTGCAGCTGGTAGTTACTCCTCACAGGTCAAGCCCATAAACCCCAGGCTCCGGTACCAGACAACTCAAGGACAGACCTCTGCCATGCAGCAAAGCTGCTTTTCTCTGGGGAAAAAGCACACAGGAGAGACTGATTGCTGCCACTGTCCCATCAGAAAGTCTAATGCAATGAAAAATCTATTTCTATTTTTGTTTGCCTTTGGTCATCAAAGGTCTCTGCGCTATGAATCTAAATACTTTGCTTTACAAAGCAGAAAAACTGCTTTCTAGTTAAAAAAAACCTCAACACCACAACATACCAATGCTGCCAAGAAAAAAAATATGTGTTGAGTCTTTGCTTGCCAGATATATAACAGAGTTTTAGGAAATACCTGTCCTTGCCTCCATTTGCAGTAAAAATGCTGTGCCTTCAGATGTGCCCTCAAATACTCAGCTCATTTTGCTAGGATTCAGAAATATCTTGGGCCCTGTGGTTTCTTAGCAAATTGAAAAACAGCACATTATCAGCAGAGTCAAACATACTGGGCCATCTGAAACAAAGCAGGTCATGGATCATTTGATATATAACACCTCTCAGCCCTTTCTCTTAAAGCTGCCTGTAGGAAAAGCTCTATTTGAAATGTTTTGTTCATAGATTTCTGAAGCAAAAATGTTTTTATTTATTAAAAAAAAAAAAAGAATTTTTCCTAGCTTGAGCTGTTTGTTGAATTCACAGCCATCTTTGACCCACCAAAAATTCACTTTCCAGCAAACTCCTTCAGAAATATAATTTTATTTTTTTCAATTTTGTTGCATTTTGCTCCTGAAATAGCCAGCTCCAAAAAAAGAAATACAGTGTCCTCTGTCCCTAGTCCTTGACTTCAGAGGTAGCAGCATCTCCCACAGAGGTTCTGTTAATCTATGAGCCTGTCCTTTCAGCTCCTTTGCTAGGACTCCACATCACTACGTTTATCTGTGCTGCACAGCAATTATACTGATTTAGGCTGTGTGGTTTTATATTTCAGGTTTTCTGCCTGAAGGGTATCTTTGAAGCAGATCTTTGTCTTTCAGGGAGAAATTAAGTCCGCCTTTAGTTACTGTTCCTCCTCCTTTATGTCTCCCTGTTCTTAAAATGCTTTGGAGTAACTCACCGGACTGGCTCAAACCTGTTCCTGACACCCCTGGCCTTGGGTTACCTGCATTCTCCCCGTGCTTTCTTGATGCCCTTCGGAGGAAAAAGCCTTGCAGGACCTTCATAAAGAAATGGAGCAGGCATGGAGGGCTGCTGCCTCCCACTCTCCCACCTCCCTCCAACCCCTTATTTATTTTTACTCAAAGGAAATTTTTCACGATCTGTCAAGCAACAGAAAATGTACAAGTACTGGTGGTTGCTGCTCCCCTGCCCTGGCTACTTTGGCAACCTTGCTCTTAGCCCCTGAAGGAAAGAAGGGGAGCCCTCTTAGCCCTGGCATCCCTAGTGAGGCCATGCACAGTAGGAGACTGAGGGTGTCAGAGAAAGCTGGGAGGAGCTGGTCCATCTCCCTGTCACCAAATGCCTCACTTGGGTGCCACAGGAGGTAAAGAGCCTCTGAGCTTGGCGAAGTAGCAGAGATGACATCGGCACCTTGCTCTCACCACACGGCCCCCTCTGCCTGTCACTTCCAAAGGCTTCTAACCCTCCCTTCGCAGCAGTGTGCAGTTCTAATTAAAAAGGAAAAAAAGTGTCATCTTCCAAGTGCACAGTCCTGATTTTTTTACATGAGGATGCAAGGATGTGACCTGAAGATTACGTAATTAGAATGGATTTGTTATGCTTGCGTTTCAAATCAGTGATTAGCATGTGACAGTCCCATCCTGGGAAACGTCAAGCCACCATTGCTCTTCTCTCTCTCTCTCTCCTTTCTTGCACAGTGCGCCTTCCCAACTCTGGCAACCACCAGTGCTGAAGGATCTTCAACTAGCCTGGGGTAAGTTTAAAATGTACTCGGCATGGGATGAAGACTGGGATTAATGATATCATTTTTCATATTATTGGAAAAAGCTAGAGCTGTAGCTATTTAATGTTGCATGTGCAGCACATGAAATGGTATTTAAAGTATTTTGCATCTTCAGTTATTTTGAGCTGATTTAAGACTATGTACAGAGATCTAGCTTCTTAGTGTGCTGGAGAATCTTGTGAGGCTGCATTTATAGTAAGGTCTCTAAAATACCAGGTTAAAAAGACCTTTTTGCTCTTACCATTTAAGAGCTAAATTGAGGTCTCATGCTGAATTGAAGTATTTGAATAACAACTGCATTAGAGTTAGCTGGACAAAAGCGTGAGACTGATGACAGTAAATCACTGATTTTTTTTCCTGTCTTTGGAGGACTGGGGGTTGTTCTCCAAGTGGGATGTTTAAAACAGCCAGCAATCTCAGCTGGCAGGATGGAGACAGTCACTAGGAACAGCCCAAGCATTTATTAAGGAAAATTGTGGAGCTTAACAACTAAAGCAGCAAAAATGCATATGGATTATGGATTCCTCTGCACTGTTATCCATGTCATGATTTCAGAAGCAGAATGGGACAGAAAGCCAAACAAATAGTAACTGTGGTCCATCAAGGCTAGGCTGTAAATGCTTTATGGAACTTTGCCTTTTTGCATGCTGATGCTCGGGGTATTCAGTCGGTCTTTTTAACAAGTGATCCTCTGCACAGCTGGTTGTTTCTTCCAGTTGCGCCATTCCATGTGGGGGGAGCACGGCAAGGGCGAGCACGGTCACAGAAATGCAGCACGGGCTGCAGGGTCTGCCTCCCCTCCCTCCCCCATGCACAGCTTCGTGTGGGAATCCCACCCCTGCGCTGCCTCAGTGGCACCTCGCTCCAGTCTTCAACCCTCTGCTGGGGGCATAGCTAAAGAAAGCAACCCACTGGGACCTCCTCATCCATCCAAACCTTCTCTCTTGGGGTTCTCATGGGACGTGGGTGCTGGCTCTGGCTCTGTTAACTTTCACATGCTGTCTGCTCTGCTCTGGGCGGGGGCTGCAGTGCCAGTTGCCACTCGTGCAAGACACCAGGGCAGTATTCTTTGCCAGACACCAGTGGCCAGAATCACGGTGATCACTAATGGCAGAGGTGGCACTCAGCTTTGGTTCTTGGGCTCAGCAGATTTGGCTTCCTTTTGCCACGATGGAGGAATCTGGTGGCTTTTACACCCTGAAACTATTCTATGGGCTTTGATCCAGAGATGTCATTCTGGCTTGATGAGAGTTGCAGGAGGGTAAATGAGTTTTAATGCTCAGCTCTGAAGAAACAAGCACATCTTTGCCTTTTCTTGTCCCTAAAGCAGGGGGCCCATGCTTGGGTTGTAGGCCAAGACAGTCTGCTGACGGCTTCACGTGACTGGGTGTTGAGCCTGTCCAGCGGGGAGCTTGCAGAGGAACAATAACATCTCCTTGCTGATGAGGAAACTACCAGCTGGTGGGCTGGCATATCAGGCAAACCTTGGATTTGCTGTGAGTGGAGGCCTGACAGTGGTTTAGGAAAGCAGCCTCATGAAGGGCTTGCTCCTGCTACTAATATGCACATGCATTCATGTCTGTGCATATGGGAAGAGGTTAAGGGTATGGGGCTTGCTCAGTACTGAGAAAAAAAGGTGAAGGGGGGGAATCCTTTTGCAGCTTTTAACTGTCTCAAGGGGGCTATAAAGCAGACGGGTCCAGATTCTTCCCAGAGGTGCACAGTGAAAGGCAATGGGCACAAGCTGCAGCAAAGGGAAACCCCAACTGGATGTACGGAAAAATATTCTTCCCCAGAGTACTGGAGGGCCCAGAGAGGCTGTGAAGACTCCAGTGTGGGAAATATTCAGACCTGAGCTGGACACAATCCTGAGGAACCTGATCTAGTTTGGAGTTAGCCTTGATTTGAGCAGGAAATTGGACTAGAGACATACAAGGGTTCCTACTCACCTAGACTCCGCTATGAGCTTATGACTTGTTCACTGCCAGCAGAGGCAGGATTTGACCATGCAGCCCACATCCAGGGTCTCAGGGCTAAATGTCAGTCCTATCTTCCAACCCCTTTTTGCATCTTTTAGGAATGAGCCAGACACTGTTCAGCCAGCTCAGTCTGACTGAAATCCTTGTCCCCGGTGAGGACAGAGTTAACAGATTCCTCGCCCAGCAGTCAGGGGGAACGGAAGACAAGCATTTGCTCCAAACCATGGTGAGGTGCACATTTGGTTTGTTTTAATGATGAGGAAGGACTGACTAGTTTTGCTCCACATATTTGGCAATTCAGAAGAACCAGGGACAGGCAGGAAATGTTATATATTCCTGGAGTCCAGCAGCGAGCCTTAAATGCTGGAAAGTAGCCAACGTAGTGCAATTATTTAATGTAACAAAGAACTAAGAGGCGACCCAGGCAATTGCAGGCTGCAGCTAGAGGACACACGAAAGACAGTTACTCTGGTAAAACAGGGAAGATTTTCTGGACCCACTTAACCAAGGTCAACCTACTTTGCAGTGCGGTCATATAGCAGAGCTCCTGGTGGTGCCTGGAGCAGAAGGGAATGGTGGCATCCCC